CAAAATCCAAACCCCCAAACAAACACACCCTAAATTTACTTAACTTTTCAATATATCAATCCAATTAAAAAAAAAAAAAAAAAAACTAGAAAAATTTCAATATGCTTTATTTCGAAAATTCTAAATTAAGTTTTAAATTTCAATTTAATTTAATTCAAATATTCGAATTTAAAGTATTTATTTTCACATGTCATATACGTGTTTTGAAATTTTAAAATAATTTACTAATAGTATCTTTTTAAAAAAACATTATACTCCTATTATTTTATTATTTTTTGAGTTCTAAAACGTCTAATGGGTATACTCGCAATGCTTTAAAAAAAAAAAAAAAAAGCTCAAGTATTGAAAATTTTTACAAATGTTGTCATAATAAGTCTTTATAAATATATACACATATATATATATATTTTATTGTTTAAAAGAAAAAAATTGAAAATTTGAATATATAAGTCTATTTATTTTGTTTTTTCTTTTTAAAATTAAAAGTATTACTCCCGTCCCAATACAATAATCCTATTTACCATATTTACCATTTTTGTCTGTCTCAAAATAATAGTCTCATTTCCATAAATAACCATATCACCGTAAGAACCTTATCTTTTCATTATTATTACACAACTGCAACTACTTTTTACACTAATACACTCACAAGGGCAAAAAAATATTTTATCCGTACTTTTTACCCAATACCAATATAATATCAATATTCCTTACATCACATGTCAAACACAGTCCAAACTATAGTTCTGGAACTTAGAGATTATTATTCAATAGATACAATGATGATATAAATATATATATTTTTAATATTTTTTTCAGTCCATCCTTAATAGATCTATTAAAATGGATTTAGCCCGGCCTTATTTTTAATGAGAGTCTTGTAATTTTTCAAGCTTCTTAAAATACAAATCTAAATGAGCCAACTGACGTGAACTGCGAATTGAAAGTGAATTAGCCCGTGACGAGGCGGATTGGCCCGCGGGCTAACTGGATATAAATTATAATAAATTAATTGTTATTATTTATATTATAATTATATATTTATACAATATTATACTCAATATACTTTAATTTAAACAATATATCTTATGATAATTTCCAAATAGTTTTCAAGGGTGTGTTTGTTTGAGGGTTTGAATTTTTAGTTGAGATTTGAATAGTAAAAATTTTGAATTTGAATAGTTGTATAATGTGATATAAATATGTGTTGATGTGATGTTTTGAATGTAAAATTGATTTTTAGTATAATATAAAAAATGAAAAATAGATGTTTGATTTGATGTTTTAGAGAAAAAAAAAAAAAGAATAGTGTATTTAAAATCTAATTAAATTAGCTAAACAAGTCATTATTATACTAACCATAATAATCACAAGTATCGGCTGCTGCCGCTTTTCTTCTTCTCAAATCGTTTCTATTTTATGGCACATTCGCCGTTTTATTTTGTTTAGATCCGATTTCTATAATTTCTTCAAAAAATTGTAAGTTCAAATTTTTATTTATTATTAAATTATTTAATATTATCATTCTTTCTAATAGCCATACATGATATTTAAATATTGAATTGTATGTTAGTTATAGTTTGTTAGATTAAAATTATCGATTGATTAAAAAGAATCAATGATATTTTTATTTTTATTTTTTCCTTTTGCTTTGTGAATTGTTGAATGCATTTTTTTTTCTTTTCTTGTTTTTTTTTTTAATTGAAATAATTTTATGTGTTTTTATGAATAATTTGATTCGTTCTAAAATCATATATTTTTTTAATGAATTTTTAAAAAAACAATTGTGACTTTATCTTTAAAGGTAAATATTATTTTGAATTTATACCACCTTTAAATTTTCATTTAAAAGAATAAATATTATGACATCTAATGACTCAATGTACCAGAAAGTGAATACGAAACTTCTACATTGAAGTTCCATACGAAAATATACAAAAAATTAAAATACTATAATATTGGTCAAATAATGATTGATGTTGATGGGAAGCTAAAAAGTTAATTCAAATATTGTAGGTGAGTTTATTTCTTTTATTGAATATGATGGTATCAAAGATATTTTTAAAATATAGACTTCTCATTTTTCCTATTATATAACATTGATGTTTATGATATTAATAAGTTGTATTTAAAAAAAAAAAGAAAAAAAAAAACTTAAAATGAAGTTTTAGTTAACATTCAACATCGCATTTGTTTAACTTCTAATGTGTGGGCTAAATGTACGAGCAATAACTATATTTGTTTGATTATTTATTTTGTTGATGAAAATTGAAGATTGAATAGTAAGATATTAGATTTTGATTAATTTTCTCCTTCACACGTTGGACTTGAGTCAGCTGCAAAAGTTTTGGAGTTTTTTAAGGAATAGAGAATAGAATAAAAAATATTTTCTTTAATATTGGATAATGTATCGAATAATAATACTATGCAGAGTATTTTGAAAGATTAGCTCTTTATGAATGACAATTTATTGTGGGGAGGTGAATTTTTTCATATTCGTTGTTCGGTTCATATATTTAATCTTATTGCACAATATGGTTTAAAAGTTGATGAAACATCTTTGTGTAAATAAGAGAATATGTCAAATTTGTTAAAGGTTTAGAAAGTCGGATGAAAGTATTAAGTCGGATGAAAGTATTTTAGGAGTGTGAAAAAAATTAGAAACATTGATACTAATATTGATTTGAGGAATGATGTATGTACTCGATATAATTCATCATACTTGATGTTGAACAGTGCTATTAAGTACAAAAAGACTTTTATTTCCCTCTAGTGAAAAAAAAAAATGATTCAAATTATGTCATTCAAATGAAGAATGACAAAATGGTAAGAAGTTATGAAATTTTGTTGAGCTGTTTTATGACATGACCAAGTTGATTTCTGGTTCATCTTATCAAACATCACTTTATACAAGTGTGGAAAATTAAATGCTTGTCCATTACAATAGTTGCATACGAATAATATTTTTCTATTGATGGTCGTATTATCACAAAGTACAAAAGTTCAGTGGTTCTTCGGAAAATTCAAACATTGATTTGCACACGTTGCATAGATTTTCTATCAATAAATTATATTATATTATAAATATTTTAAATAAATTTTTATGTTATATTTTTCTATATTACACTTATTTATTTTATTTGTAGATGATATTGATAATTATGGTGATGGAGGTGGCATGAGGAATAAGAGATAGGTGAAATGTTTAGAATTTTACATATTAGTGAACATAAATAATAAGAAACTGAAGAGCATTTTAATAATATCATTAATTAATTTTAATTTTAAAAATATTATGTTTGTGCATTTTGATGTTAGAAATTAGAATTATGTTAATGAATTACTATGAGTATGTTTACTTGTGCGATTTCGGTTTTGATTTTACTATTTGAATTTATTTATTTTTTATTAAAAAATATCAAATTGAATACCTATTTTTCATATATTATATTTTATATTCAAAACATCACATCATTACATATTTATATAACATCAAACAACCATTTCAATTCAAAATTTTACTATTTAAAATTGAAATAAAAAACCAAATTCCCACAAATAGACACATTCCATGTTATTTGTTTTTAAATACTATTTATTATTTGAATTATATTATGCAATCATTTTTTTACCTTAATTTTTAGATATTAATTACAAAAAATAATGTTAATATTTGTAAAAAATTTGCGGGTTGACCCACTTGGCTCGTCATCCGCAAGTAGATCAGGTTGGGTTCATTAAATTTTAGATTGTCTTACCGTGGCTGACCCACAAATAACCCGCTTATTTGTGGATTATAGCATATTGTGGGTTAATCCGTAGCGAGTTTGGACAGTTCTAATCTTTAATATATTTATTTTTTTATATGTAAATTTTTAAAATATTTATTTTTGTTAAAAAAAATCAACATATTTTTTCAAAATATTAATATATTATTATACATTCATTGTTTTTATATTACATATACAATTTTTTATATCTCATATAAAAAAAATCTTTTCAAACTATTTAAAAAAAAATACACCATAATATTTTATAGATAATATACTAAAATGATAATAATATTATTTCACCATTAAATTCATATTGTTTAATAAAAATAAAATATTCTTTAATTAAAAAAATAATTACTAAAAACTAAAATAAATATATAAAAATGAACATATTAAAATAATAAAATAAATATATTGACACTGCCACCAAGGAGTAATTACAATAAATTAGAGTGTGCTTCTTTTTAATAGGTTTTGTAAAATTTTAATTTAATATTTAAATAATATATAATGTGTTATTTTATTTAAAAATACTGCCTCTGTCCCAAAACTATAGTATGGATTGTGTGTTTAGCATGAGATTTAATAATTGTATTTAGCACGAGATTTAATAAATATTGATATTATATTAACAGTAGGTAAAAAGTATTGATAAAAATCTTTTTTGCCATTGTGAGTGTATTAATATAAGAAGTAGTAACAATCGTATAATAATAATAAAAAAATAAAAATAATTTTACAGTGATATAATTATTTAAGAAAAGAAGACTTTTGAGAGAGACAAACAATGATAAAAACAAGATTATTATATTGATTTTGGAAACTCATAGTCAAAATAATAGAAATTGTAGTTTTGAGTGTTAAAAGATAAACACCAATTCAATACTGTAAAAACGAAAATAAAAACGGAAGGGCAAATCGGTAATTTAACGTAGGAATGTGGTCAGTAGCTGCGTAGTGGCCACATCAGGCTATCACTGTTAGATGCGCCTGTTTGGCGCGAGATCAAACGGACAAAACAAAAAACACAAAAATATACTGACTCGGGACCCAAAATCACGACAACGCCAAACAAGCCCCTAACGACGAAAAATAAAAAAAATACTAAAATACACAATAAATAATTATAAATACAATATTTTTTAATATATTATTTTAAGGAAGGCATAAAAAGTGCAGAAAAATCAGACACACAGTGAGTGTGAAAGTATTTATAGGCAGTGTGTGTGCTAAAGGAGGAAACCAAAGAAACCACTGTACCCTCGCTTTCTCTCTCTTCCCCCGCCCTCGCTTTCTCGCTCTAAAACCACCCAAAACCCCCCGCTCGATCCGCAATCGTCAATCGGCGTACGAAATTGCGTTGTCGGCGTGTATATGCGGAGATATTTGCAAACATTTTGTATGTTGGTGTTTTCGCTGTGAATATCGATGTAATGTTTTGAAAAAAGGAAGAAAAAATTACCTGTGTTGTGATAGTGGTTGTGGAGAGGAAGTTTTTGTTGTTGATGCAGTAGTGTGTACGCAGTGTTGTTTGTTGTAGCTGTAGGTTTTTTTGTTGTATTTTATTGTTTATGTGTATGTATAGTTAGGGAGTGTGGGGGAATGGAGAGGTACGGTGGGACCCAGGCTATGGCGGTGGAGGCGGAATGGACGGTGGCGGGAGGCGTAGCAGGGTTAGAAGGCGAGTTGCATTTGAATTACGCGTTGGATTTGCTGATTTTTTCGTATTGTGTTTTTTGTGTAATGTTGATTGATTTTGGGGGTTTGGTTTTTTGTGAATAATGCAGAGTCGACGTGGCCGTTGGGGCTCGGGGGCGGGCCCGTGGCGTACCCTGAGAGGCCCGATGAGCCCGACTGTATTTATTACCTGAGGACTGGATTCTGTGGGTATGGCAATAGGTGTCGTTTCAACCATCCTCGAGATCGGAGTGTGGTAAGGCATTCGAATCTTTTGTTTAAGTTTGGTGTATGATTGAAGTGATCATAAGGTTGAAGTGGGATGTGTTGTGGTTTACGTAGATTTGATGCACTATTTGTTGAATTCTGGTGTTTGTTGATCATGAAGTGGAATGCATTTGATTTGAATTTATGAGGTATCTATGGATGTGATTGTAAATTGGGAAAATTCAAGCCTTCGGCATTTTAGTCGAGTTTGTGATGGATTTGGTAGGAAAGAATGGCAATTATTATATACCTAATTGGACTGAGTATAGTTTAAATTGGGTGGTTTCGATGGATATGAAGATTATTGTGGTAAAAGTAGTCTTTCTTGTTATGGGTTGTAATGATTTCGATGGAATAGGAATGATGGTGAATTTAAATGTTTTTTTTGTCCTACATCGATTTGGTGAACCTGCATGTAGTGAAAGCAACTGTTTTTATGTGATACAGGTAATGGGATCATTAGGAGCTAGTGGAGTTGAGTATCCAGAACGCGTTGGCCAGCCAGTTTGTCAGGTATTCGCTATTTGTTTTTTCATTTCTGTTTTGAAAAATCTTCTTATAAGCACATATGTGAAATAAAATGCTAAAGTTTACATGCTCACAAAATGTCGATCGCCATTAATGTAAATACATACATGTAAATGCTGCAAATATTGTCTTTTTGACACAATTGCGATAATTTATTATTAGTATCCTGGGACATAGATTGTGCTGCCTGATACTGAATTTGTGTTCTTGTGGATTCTAGAAGGGCCACTTCCTTTTAATTGATTCTGTATATGTATGTCTTTTGGCTTTCCACTGCGCACTGGTTATGTTGTGTGAAAAAGCGAAACTAAAAACGAGAATATCCTTTCATTAGACATTAATCCATGTTATGCTGTGCTTGCATAAGTTGTTAATGAACTCTTTAGAAGAGGGTATAATCTATTTACAACATCAGGATATGTAATTAATTCACGTGCCTGATTCCAGTTAATGACCTTTGATCTTAGGGGGGCTTTAAGACATCAGCGAAACTGGTTTTAAAAGAAGATACAATTATCATATTCCGAATGCTTTTATGTTGTTGACCATGAGTCCATGACATCTTCCTTCTCTTTTGTTTTGATTTGTATGGAAAATGAGCATCGAATGTGATAACTTTGGAGGGAAAATGGTAGATTAAACGGTTCAAACTTGGGAATAAAAACACAAGAAAATACACCTTTGATTGCTTATATTACTAGTGGAATTAGTCATCTATTAACTTCATTCTTTCACCTGGATATTCATATTCAAGCAGCTAGGTTTGACGTCATTCGAAGATTTGCAATGTACTATAATTTTTTTGTAGTTTTGATATCCTGTCTGAAAGCCTGAAGCTATGTCAAGGCACTGTTTCTCCCTAAGTTTCATCTTATCTTATAGCTTCCTGATCGTAGTTTATCGTTGTCTCCGTCTTTTGCCTATAAAATATCTGTATTGTCTGCTCCTACATGGCTTCTTCCTGTCAAACTATTGAAATTGCTCCATACCTGACAATGGGATCTCACTCATTTCCTTGAAATGGTTAAACATTTTGTCACGTTGTCTTGTGGCCATTCCTTGAAAGGGAAACTTTCCTTGTTTTGATAATGTACTGATAATTTTCAATTGCTTTAGTACTGCAGTGCTTGAAGCTTATCCATATTTTTGTGGTTTGTTTAATTGTGTTTTTCAACCTTTTTTTTTTTTTTTACTATTCAATCTATCAATTTCCCTCCGAAAAATCACCCGACACCTATTTTTCGTTCAAAACATCATAACCATTCACTATTTCACCTAAAAATACATCAAAAACAAAAGGCCACAAGTTGCAATGAAAAGTTACAATCCGGTGTTCTGGTGTCGCTTTTGATTTATCATTTTTATGTGCTGATAGGGCTATAATTTGTTTATCCAAGTTTTTTTGTATCAACAATAAACATCTTCAATCATGTTTATCCATCAGTGATTTTCCATTGTTCTTGGCTGAGAATTGGCTCTTATTTTGAGTTACGTACGCTTCTAAAAATTCTTACCTTTTTATAAGTATAACAATGCATGTTCTTTGAGCTCGATTTGTAGTACTACATGCGCACCGGGATGTGCAAATTTGGTGCTTCCTGCAAGTACCATCACCCAAGGCAAGGAGTCGGATCCTCAGCAGCAATCCCACTCAACGTCTACGGATATCCATTACGACCGGTCTGGACATTCAATATTTCTTACGCTCTTTCTACTCTACGGATTTAATCATATTGCACTTATTGAGTTTTTTCTGCAGGGAGAAAAGGAATGCTCATACTATATTAAAACAGGGCAATGCAAATTCGGCATCACCTGTAAATTTCATCATCCACAGCCGTCTGGCGCACAAGTTCCGCCACCAAACAACCCTAATCCCGGACCTAGCCATTTGTCAGTTTATCCAACCATGCAATCTCCGGCTCAGTCTTCTCAACAATACGGAGTTCTTCCTGGGAATTGGCCAGTTGCGCGGCCAGCCATGATTCCAGGTTCTTACGTGCCTGGGAGTTACGGACCCATGCTCTTTCCTCCAGGAATCGTTCCCATTCCCGGCTGGACACCCTACCCTGTAGGTGTACCTGAACTCGAACTATTTATTATCTTTTTAAACTTTTGTCGATATTTCTCTATTAGTGACCTGTAGAATTCCATAATACAGGCACCGGTCAATCCTGCAGCCTCACCGGGTTCTCAGCCCACTGTCGGTGCTGGTTCGATGTATGGTTTAACTCAATTACCTCCTCCAGGGACGGCATACTCTGTGCCATACCTTTCTAGCCCTTCTGCTGGTCCCTCAAGCAGCAATCAGAAGGAAAATGCATTTCCCGAAAGACCTGGACAACCGGAATGTCAGTATTATTTGAGAACCGGAGATTGTAAATTTGGTTCGACTTGTAAATATCATCATCCCCCGGAGTTGAGTGTAGCCAGGCCAAGTTTCTTGCTTAGTCCCATGGGTCTTCCGCTGCGCCCGGTAAGCACACTCTCTGTTTAATCTGGAAAATTGGAATTGCATGATTCTACTTTACGTATGCTTCGTCGTAATTTATTTATTGTTAGGGCATACCCGTTGTATTTACTTGAAAGTAAAACCGTGTCTAAACAAATTTTCATCTAGAGGTAAAGATTTTTGGCTATAGAATCGCCTTTCGATTACCTTAACCTTTGATGCTCATACTGAACCTAGACATGTAGCAACGCAAAAACATTCGACATTAGTTTCTGTTACTTCGATAATGTAAGAAATGCAAGACTAGGGAAAAATTGGGATAATCAATGTGAAGCTCGTATATAATCCATTTCCCTTGTATTCCTGTAGATATTTGTGCTTTCTTTTGCTAGTCGAAGATATGCCCCTGGGCACCCTAGGCCAGCCTGCTGTTAGTGTTATAAATGAATGTAAAACTCAATTCTTTGGATTTTTATCATATGATGTAGAGAAATTGCTGCCGTAAAATCGTCTCATTCATCTTTTTCTTTTCCCAGGGCGCGCCCCTCTGCTCCCACTATGCCCAGAATGGCGTGTGCAGGTTTGGTCCATCGTGCAAATTCGATCACCCGATGGGAAGTTTGAGCTACAGTCCATCGGCGTCTTCACTAACCGACATGCCCGTGGCTCCTTACCCGGTGGGATCAACTATCGCCACATTCGCCCCGTCATCATCTTCTTCGGACCTAAGGCCCGAGCTCCTTACCGGGATGTTTTCCACGACTAGTTTCTCGAAAGGAGGCGGGGGGACGACTCTTCAGTCGAGCATTCAGTATTCCGGGCAGGGCTCCGCCTCTTCATCCGGCAGCGGCAGCAGCAGCAGCAGCACAAGCGTCGGAGGCGAACCTCTCACATCAAGATGATAATGATCTGATCTGATTCGGAAACTTCTTTTTTGGCGTAAATCCTCTTCGACAGACAGGCAGATTTCTCGAACCCGAGCTGGAATGGCTTGGTTTGAATAAGCCATAGATATATATATACACTCCAGCATCAGCTTGGAATGGAATAATGGATGGATGGATCGATGAGGAGGATTGGCATTAAGGTAATTCTTGGCAGGGAAGCCCCTAAAGTTTTGAAGGCTAATGGTTGTTGTTGGTTGTTGTGTCTGTTTTTATAGTTTCGACGACACACTCTTATTCTCTTCCTGGTTGTGGTTATTATATTGGATTGATTCTCTATTGCGTTACATGAACACGAACACGAACACGTTGATGAAGGAGAGGGTTGGTTGGTTGGTTCCCCGCTTTTTTGGTTCAATCAACACAACAAACCAACTCTTTTCCCACTTCACTTTTTTACATTCTTTGCCTTATTTTCTCAACTCTAGAGTATGTTTATATGTATATATATATATATATACAAGTGATTTAACATTTTATTTATTCAGTTTTAATATTAAATATATAGTTGTTTACTGTATTTTTACTCTAATTCATAAATTAATTTTTTTTAAAAAAAGAATATTTTTAAATATTGCTTTTTATATGTTACAGTTCACACTAATTTTTTTTATAAAATAAAGGATTAATATGCAAAATAAAAAAATAAAAAATAAAAATAAAGAAAAGAAAGAATGGCAAAATTTTTGGCGTCATTTGGAAGAAACCGATGCCAAATTCTTAACTACTGGGTTGAAGCTGACCTTATTTAAAACAAATATATTATTGTTTTTATTATATATTTTTTTATAACTAAATTTTTAAGAAGTATTCTTAATTATTATTATTATTATTTATAATTTTTTATGAATACGTTTTGACGGAGATCCAAATTTCTGGAGTGTTTTATTTTCTAAAAAAAAATAAGAATTCATAAACTAACAAAAATAGAAAATAGAAAGTTTATTCAAAATTCTCTACTTTTATCCTTTTTCGATAAACAAATATATTAATATATATATATGTTCAAAACTCTTTAGTTTTATAAAATTAAATTATATTAATCGTAAGTAAAATTCATATTTTCTTTTTTTAAAAATTTATATTATATAAAATTTTGTTCTCAATAAAATAATATATATTGTATATACCTTTGTTGAAATCATAACTTTTAAAATGTTAAATATATTTTAAAAAACTTTAATCAAATATATTACTCCCTGTCTCACTTCTCACTTTTCCATTTCTGTCCGTTCCTATAATTATTTTTATTATATGATAATTATTTTCACTAATATATTTTTAATTATTTATTAATTATACCTCTTCTAATTATTTTTATTATTATATGATAATTATTTTCACTAATATATTTTTAATTATTTATTAATTATACCTCTTCTAAGTAAAGGGGACAAAGGAGTATATTATAATTCAACCATTAATTAAATAAACCAATTTCAACTCAACTTTCCAACCTAAAACTAAACTGATAACAAAAAGTAACCTAAATTCCCAATTTTCTCCACTAGATCCCTAAAATTAGTATCCATCCGCCGTTTTAGCACAAGTTTTACTAGAAACAAATAATAATTGATATTTTTTACATTTTATAGTAAATATATATTAAATAACACAAAAATAATATAATTTTTACTAAAAAGATAAGCAAATTTTTAAATGAGAGTAATGAAGAAGGAAAGAACAAGTCAAGGATGTGGAAATTTTACCCCAAAATGATCCACCAACAAAAGAACATATAATATGAAACGGCACTCATCATTTTCTCTTCTTTCCCTGCCAAAAAAACACACATTATTTACTCCTCAATACCATATTTATGCATAGCCAAAATGGTAAATTACAAAGTATATACATATATACACATATATAACTAAGGCAGCTGTTACAATAATGATTAAATAGCACACAATAATATAGATCAGACAATGAGATATAAATTTATGGCATACATATAAAATATAACTTAATAATACATACTAATATTTTATACAATATGTATTGTCTGTTTTATTTTTCTATGTTATCTATAGTATATTTATGTGTTGATTGGGACAATCAGAATAGTGTTAATGGGCGGTGACTACAATGCTGAATAACACAACTTGTGCTAACGGACAACACACGACTATTGTATTATTATAATACAAATACAACACATGAACTAACAACATACGATATAATCTCATACAATACATACAACAATTGATTTTAGCACATGACATACTATTATGCATTAATATAATATTATACGGACACACGCTGTAATGATGAACAAACAATACGTATTTTTATTACAAACAACACATGTTATATCTAACAAAAGCATGTTTCATTTCTGTATTTTCCGTGTGTTTATTTTTCAAAATTAGCACCGTAACCTCCCCAGTGCTAATAAATCCCAAATCAGCACCTTAAACCAAGCGTATAACTAAATAATCATTTGTGTTTCATGAAAACACATATAAAAAATCACCAAGAAGGACACCAAAGAGGCAAATTGCACTAATTTACAATACAGAGCTCTATTTGTTTGTAGGTTTTTACCAAAATCTTTATTATTAATAAAAATAAAATTAAAAATTAAATACTTATCTTTTATTTTATATATTACATTAAAAACTAATTTTACATTAAAAAATATTACATTAAATCTTTTATATCACGCGCACTTTATAATTGTTACTAAATAAAAAATGAGAATATTTCTAAAAGACAGACAAAAATTTTACAGAGACTGAGGGAGTATTACTCACATTGTCATCCATCAATGCATGCTTCCGCTTCTTGAGCATTGTAATACTGCTTTCCACATTAGCTTGTCGGGCCGCAGCTCGCCTCGATGATGAAGATGAGGCCATGCTCTATGAGAAACATGGAAGGTTAAGGATATACTCTAAATAAATATGTATATACTGCATTGAAAAGATTACACTCGCTTAATTACCTTTGCCAGTTTTTTCTCTTTTCGAGCCTGCCTCTCCCTTTCATCGTATTCTTGGTTTTCCTTCTCCACCAATCGGATAAGCGTATCGCATCTCCTTGCGAGTTCTTGAGTGGTTCGAGACTTCACAAACCAATCAAACCGGAACAATGAGGAAGTCCGGAAGGCAGACTTTAGCTCATCCCAGTTCCCATATCCTAGTTTGTGAATCATGCATATCTGAAAAGGAAACAAATATCAGCCGGGTATGAACATTCCGAGACAATATATATATATATATACATACATATCATGTACATATATATACATAGTGTAGTTGAGATATCGCGAAAAAGAGCTGAATTGATTCACCATGAAACGGTCACATTCTTCGTTGTACAATTTTCCTTTGTTCTGGCCATATTGGATCTTTAAATCCAGCCATGGGTTCTTGTAGCGATCCAACTTCTTCCGGAGTGCCTTCATTATCTCATCTTTCCGTGCAATCCGGGCTTCTCCTCTTTCAATGTTCTTAATGATCTTATCATAATCTGCAATTAGATGATCAGATATATCGGATAATCATAACGGATGTAATTCTCTAATGAAATCTGGAACTGCCTCTCAACTTTACGATGACCAGACTTTTTAGAAACATAATCTATATAGCTGAGACATGTAAATCATTTTGCGAAAAAGTAAGGCAATAGTTAAGAATGATATTCTTACCATTTAACTCCTTGTATCGTTCGTTGAAAACTTGCGCATATCTTGAGACTTCCTCCTCTGTTTTCCCTTCCATTTCAGAAGCAATTAGTGTGATATCATTTCGGCCGTACTTTTCACAAGCCCTGATGAATGTATTGAAGTCTTTTCTGCTCCATGTCGAAAATCCCTACAACAACAATGTCAATCAGGTGAAGCTATCGGTTAAGTCGGAATCAAATACAAAAAAATGGGAGCATACTTCCTCCAGCAATTGTTCTTTCTCTTCCTGCTCCTCAGCAGTCAAAGGATCTCCTCCGTCTGGGGAGACAACATCGGCATGTTAAGAGAGTGCATAATGATTAATGAATAATGACCGAATACTTAAAGGGAAAACAAGGTGAATGAAAATACACCTTCAGGTTCATCCACATCTACTGCATCTTTTGCTTGATTCTTCTGATTTGCCTGCGAAGCAACGAGAAGCAAATAAGGCAGATATCACAAGTAGACTATTAGAAGACTATACACATAAGAACTCAGATTGCAGACCATATGATGGCGCACTTCTTTTTCAAATAGCTCACTTAAACGCTGTGTGTTGAAGAACTGGAAGTCATGCCTTGTAATTGACAAAACTTGTTAATAGGCAGAAAGCCCTCGATAAGTTGGATGAATTAGATGAAAAAGAGAAATCCTTACAATTGTGGCATTCGAGGAAGTCGGGGCTCTTTGGGTTTTGCAGGAGCAGTATGACGCATTGTCTGTTTGAAATATTCTGATTCACAGTAACTATAAGAATATCATAAGCAAACATTAGCAAACCTGTCGTTTCACTTGATAGAATGCAATTCTTTCGGTAAATAATTTCAAAAATTGAAGAATCTTACTTGCGCTTTCGTTCTCTTTTTGGCGGTTCAATCCAATTGTCACTAACAAGCTTCTTGAAATCAAGCTTATTCTCATCCTTCATGAACAAGGTACAAAGAAAGAAAGCATGAGTGCAAAGGAATAATAACATGGAAAGATACGAACACTAACAATCTATAAGTTCAGTAAAAATACCTTTTCATCATCAAAATCATACAAATCGGCAGCTAAAGACAGTCAAAACAGCTTTATTAGTGTCACCAACCCCAGAAGAATGAATACCATATGAGTATCAAGAATAGTATTATAGAAGCTGAAGCTTACTGTCGTCCATTTTGAATTTGATAGCATCTTCTGTAAATTTTTTCATTTTAGCATCAAGTTCAGCAGTTGCCTCTTCCCCCTTGGCAATAATTCTGTCGATATCTTCATCAGTTATTGTGCTGTCTTTGGAACTGAAAACCATCTCAGCACCAAATCTCACCATTTGCAGTAGCTCATCCTTATTAACAGCTGCATAGAAGCAAATCATTACTCATCAAGTTATGGTTTCTACATAGTCAATTTAAAACCGTTACAAGAAAATTTTACTTTTTTGCTCTGCTAGTCTCCCTTGCTGGATAACTAATGCATCAAGAGCAAGCTTTTTATATGCCCTTTCAATCACTTTCTCCTCAATTGTGTACTGTGTCAGTGTAAAAATATCATTTCGATTTGATAATGAAGAACATATGCATTGACCAAAACATTCTAATTTTCTTAATATGAAAAGGGGACAAACCTCTGTGCAGAACCGAAAAACTTGGACTTCCTTCTTTTGCCCAATTCTATGAGCACGGTCCTGGGCCTGTAAATCAACCTGTGGATTCCTGTAAAGAATTCAAGTCAAGATTTGTCGTGCGCAGGGGAAACAGTTGACACATCAACGACTGGATACTGCCTCACCAGTCACTGTCATAAAGAATGACAATATCAGCGGTGGCCAGGTTGATTCCTAGACCTCCAGCTCTAGTTGACAGTAGAAATACAAATTTCTCACTGCCTGGTCTATTGAAGGCCTCGATGGAAGCATCTCGATCTTCCCCACCAGTATTTCCATCAATCCTACAGTACAAGTATCCTCGGAACATTAAGTAGTCTTCAAGAATGTCCAGCAGCCTTGTCATCTGCACAAGTAAGCAGTCGACGAATGATGGACAGCAACACAAAAGTCTTAGGAAAGGTTAGACTAGATGGAGTCAACATAACCAACCTGGGAAAATATTAAAACCCTGGAACCACGTTCTTTTAGCTTTCCAAGCAACTTGTCAAGTAGAACCATCTTCCCTGCAATCCAAAGAATATTTTACATAAGAATAAAATATTAGGCCATGATTGCAGAAAGAAAGATTATGATGATTTTTCCCCAGATGAAAGTATGTACCTGAATTCTCTATAAGATGTTCTCCTGTTGTATAAGGTGGACCAGGCTCAGCACCTTGAAATAAATAAGGATGGTTACAGCATTTCCTTAGCTGCATGGCTATATTGAGGAGGCGTTTGCGCTCTCCACCAGCATTTACAACCTCAAGATCTTTCTGTAGCAAAGCCCTATAATATTGCTTTTGCACCTGGGACATACCCACTTTAAGTATAGTTTCTTTCTTGGGAGGCAAACCTTTCTCAACATCAGACTTCAACCTTCTCAGAAGAAAGGGACGAAGAACCTAGCAATCAACAAATAAAGGAGAAACTGAAAGAAGTGAATAACTTGAGCAAATGAAGATCTATGAACTCAAATTCCTACTAGACAGCAGCAATTCATAACAACAATATGTTTTTTTAAGTTCTGCACACACTAGGAGTAAAAACATGCTCTTAGAATCATTTGTTAATATAATTGTAACATAGATGACTTTGGATGTTCTGCACAGTTCCATCCTTTCTAACATACAAGCAAATTCCAGCAACAATGCACATGCCAGTAAATATGAAGAACTCTCGCAGTGAGGAAAATGCTTCATGTAATGTCGAAAATAATTGCATACCTTGTGCAGTTGCTGTACAACTTCTTGCTGATCATTTTCACCAGATATTTGGAACCATTCATCAAAGGTCTCGGCAGAGCTAAAGATTTCCGGGAGTAAAAAGTTGAGAAGAGACCATAGTTCATGAAGATTATTCTGTAAATATATACCACATAACAGAGATCCAGAAATTAAAAAATGAAAAAAATCTGTATCAATATGGGGTATAGAAATTAAAGAATGTTGCATATCAGTTACAGCCTCTAATTTTACTAAGTTGGATCATATCAATGCAGTTAGCACCAGGAGTGATAAGTGCTCGAGTATTATTTATAGCCAGTTCCCCTTGACAATGAAGCTTCTTAAGGAACGGAACACACAAAAATACTATTAGGAAATCTTTCACTTAACAGCTTCTCATTATATCTGAGACATGAAGAAATGCAAACTGTGCAAACTTTAAAGCACTCAACATCAGCAGAAGTTTAAAACACGCTTTACCAAAAGATTTACTATGACATCAAAATATAATAGCTATAAGATTTTCAACTGAAACAGAGGGAAAGATTGGTACAAAGGTTCCAAACATAGTCAGCTATCAAAATGTGGCAACTTGCAAAAGTAATGGAACCTCTTTGTGAACATTGAACAGTGTAAGCAAGAAAGCTCTGAACATTAGTAGAAGAATGTCATAATTTGCACCTAGAGGATACAATCGAAGCAATACCTGAAGTGGAGTTCCTGTGATTAGAAGTCTGTAGTTAGTACTATAGAGCCTCATTGTTTTCGAGAGAATCGAATTTTCATTCTTGATTCGATGAGCTTCATCAATGATAATATAGCGCCAGCTAAACCGACGCAAGGCAGACTTCTCCTTGACAACCATTTCAAAACTTGTGACACAAACGTCAAACTTGCCAGCAACAAGTAATTCGTCCCGAATATATTTCTGGAAGTTCAAGAAAATGTGGATTTATTTTATCTTTTAAATATTGTTTAGCATAATATATATACGGAAAAAAAAAATGTTAACACAAGCTTACTCTTTCATCAGGATTTCCAAGAAACTTAACAGCACGTAAAACAGGACAAAACCTTTTTATTTCATTCATCCAATTCCCAAGTGTAGATTTTGGTGAAACAACCATGTGAGGGCCTGTAATCCCTCTGAACTCATGCAAGTAACCCAATAGGGATATGGTTTGCAGAGTTTTACCAAGTCCCTAAATAAAAAAAACAATACAAAACATCACCAAGTTTGAGATCTATGCAATTATAAGATGCAAACAATAGTCCATACCATTTCATCTGCAAGTATTCCGTTAATGCCATTCTCATAAAGTCGTATAAGCCAGTTTAAACCAGCAAGTTGGTAATCTCTCATCTTTCCCTGTATACCTGTAAGGCAATTTGCCAAAGTGATTGGTCATACTTTATTACAAATCATACAAAAAAAATAAAAATAATAATAACAACTGCTCAATGCTATCCCATTTAAAGTAAACATATTAATTTTACCTGCATTGATTAATAATTCAAAGAATAAGGCACATTTAATCACTCAGGTGTACTAGCAGCATCCTTAAATTATAATAATATAAGTAGATTGAAAGAGCAAACAGCAGTTAAGAATAAGGCAAGCAAACAAAATTGTCTCACAGGATGGTTGTGCCACAAGTCTCGTATTTCCAGTTCCTGAGAGGCCATCTTCTTCCTCTTTAAGATATTCTTCATCCTCTTCCTCTTCAGTTAACTTTGAAGCATGGCGTCCTCTGAAAAATACAATAAGTACAACATAATTTTACATTGAGTCCCAAATAAATGTCCATTGGCCATGATTAACCAAAGAAATATGAGTAGAATATTTCTTTAAAAGCTTGACAGTTCTCTAAGTATATTTAATGCTTCCTGATAACTGGTTGCCCGGATGTGAAGATCTATTATACAGTTACAGACTCATAAAAGAAACTTCTTTCATCTATATTCAGAACATTCGACCTCCACAACTCAACCAGCAGGAAGTCCCCTTCTTTTATTTGCTGCATTCCTTTTCTTTATTGTTTAAGGATTTAGAAACAATAAAATTTCTGTTGCAGTCTTTATGTGTTGTGTGTGTGTGCATGGTTATTGGATTAAAGAAAAATGATCAAGGGGCCCCTTTGACTTTTATTTCTATTAGGAAACTTTGACAGAATCAAGTTCTTAGCTCCTTCAAAATATAATTACCATCTAATCTAATAAACTGAGCTCCTCGAAGCAACATTCACTTCTACATTTCCCAACACAGTAGTGGAATAAAGGGGTCAACAACCACAGATGCTGATCTACATGAGGTGTCTAACCCAGGCAAGCAAAGGAGATAAAAATACCAAACAGATACAACCATACTATGAAAATATGCAAATCCAATCCAGAAAAAGTAGCAACACTACAAACAACGTAGAGAGAAACTATGCATCAAAATCTAAATTTATACATGTATAATGTGCAAAATGTCACAGTGGGAAATAGATAAAAAACCCACCTTCCTTTTGCCTTCTTCTGAGAAGCAGGCTTTTCACCTTTTGCAAAATGAGCAAACAACTCTGTCTGCTCCAGCAGATATTTCAGACGGCCTTTCCCTTTATTATTCTGTTCAAGATAAAAACAATACCAACATAACATGTTAGTAGGCAGCATAATAAGCTACAATGTCAAGTAGTTTAATTCAATTCTTCAGATGACAGACCATGTCAGCGTCGACAGCAGCATTTTGGGTGTCAAGTATTTCCTGTATCTTTTGCTTCTTAACCCTCTGCATCTCTTTAAGTCTGGCCTTTTCTCTCTTGGATACTTCATTTGCATTGGCATCATCTTCCTAAATGACACATAACACCGCACGACTAATTACTCGGATATTTAAGGCAATGTAGCTTAGTTTCAAAACTTCACTGATAAATGATGATATCACAGTTTTTAAATTATTTCACAAGAAACTAACACTTCACTCAGTCATCCAATCAGAACTTTCAACAATAAGAAACGAATGGGTAGTCGTACGAAGAAAACTATTTTCAGACTTCAAGCATCAACAAAACTAAATGGAGGTAGGTTAAACTCGTTCATACTTAATTTTAAGTGATATAATTATCTAGGAAATCAGCTAATAGAAATATAATCTACATGCAACATCTCAAAGCTTTCACCTATAGATACTAGATAGTAAAGCAAAAAAAACCCGAAACAACAACCATGAATCATCTCCCATCTCCATTCACTTCAAGTTCAATCAACACCACGCAATGTAACACGGTAGCACCGAAGACCAGTAACCAATCCGAACAGAAACAAATTACACGAAATAGGCATACGAGTTACGCTACGATACAAACGTAAAGAAAATCAACAAATCATACATACGATCTCGTACTCAGCGAAAGAAATCGAAATCAAAACCTCAATCACACATGCAGACGCCGCTATCAAATCTAGACCACTATAAAATCGAAATCACGAGCAATAGAAACTCTAAAATAAACAACGCAAACTTTCGCACAAAATTTCCTCGACGAGATAATCCGATAGAGCGGCGAACAAACCTCATTCTCATCTTCTCCTTCAAAATCTCCGCCGACTGCGTCCTCCTCCTCCTCGCCACCATCGTCGGAACCATCTGTGCTCCGAGAAACGCCCTCGACCTCCTCCCCGTCCTCCTGATCGTTGGCCTGATCCTTGCTCGTCTCTTCCTCCGCAGAAGAACCGGAAGTGTACTCATCGGAAGAATCGTTCGCCGGCGACTGTTGTTTAGCCATTTCGGCGATCTCCGCCTCTCCGAAGAGAAATTCGAGATTGTTTCGGGAATGACCGAACAGGCCGTACGTGTAAATGAAGCAAGCGCCGCATCTTCTTAAGAATGCCGGAGCTCCAAGTGTGAAACGGGTCGGGTTAAGGCTAATCGGGTTTGGATTGGCAAAGGTACGTAGGAAGGAATTGTTCGGGCCGGGAAATTGGGCCAAACTTGGCCTTCAGGTCCTTATTATTTTATTCAATTTATTGTCATATTTACTTTAATAAATTAATCTTATTTAGATGAGTGAGAGTATCTTCACTCAATTTAATATAAGTAATCAAATCAAGAATTCAATCTAAATCATCATTATTTATAGTATTATTTATACATTTTTTATATTTAACATAAAAATAAAAACAATGGTATATTTTTTAAAAAATAGTTTTTGAATTTGAATTTTAAGATTAATTTAAATTTTTATATTTTTCTATATTTTATAAGTTTGAAGTATGAGATAACCTTCAACACCTATGTTAAGATTTGAAAACTTAATTTATATAATTACATAAATTATAATATTTTAATTAATTAAATTAATATAATTTAATTTTAAGTAATCAATACATATGTTGAAATTGTACTTGATAGGTAAGGATTGCATTGATTTAAAAGGGTAATAGTATATGAGTTTTTTTTTTTTTTTACAAAATAATAAGAGTGGTTTTTCTTAAAAAAATTCAAAATTTTATTTTCCAAAAAATAAAAAGAAAAAACCTTTTTAATTTGGAATTCCTTTTTATAAATTTGATTGGATTATTTATGGATTTACGTAGATTTGATAGGATTTTAAAATAATTTTTTATTAATTTATATAAAATACATTTGTAGATAGAAAATATTTAAATAATTTAATAAAAATACAAAAATGTATATAGTTTAAAAAATATTAAATTTACATTATTTTTATCTTCGTTTTCGTCATCTTCATTTTCATCGCCATTAAATATTATATATAATTAATAATGTATAATAATTATAGCATAATACTATTTTTATATATTAATATTTTAATTTTTTATATTATTATTCAATATATTAATTTGTTTTAATTGATTAGTATCTTAGTATAGTTTTATTGTGTGTACATGTATTATTACTTTAACAAATTTAATGTAAAATGACAATGAGATAAAATGAATTTTGAAGAAATAATATCTTATTGCCAAATGATTCGGGTTAAAATCTATTCATAATTTTTTTTCAATTAAATTTATTTGGATTTTTTTTAATGCAAAAAAAATAAAATAATAATACTCCCTCCATCCTAGATAAGATGGGGGCATTACCGTAGATACATGAATTGAATTTAAGTAAATATAATCAGCAAGTAATTAAGAAGTGTATTAGTAAAAATAATTATAGATTAAGATTAAGATAACTAAATATTTTAATTAAGATTAAAAAAATTAAATTTTAAATTTTAAAATATGATTAAAGTGTATAATCAATTTTCCAAAAAAAGAAAGAACAAATTATATGGGACGGACAAAAATAGAAAATATAGACAAATTATGTGGGACGTGGGAGTAATTAATTTAAAATTTTAATTAAAAATATATTTTTTATTTTTTATTTAATAATTTGCTACTATATTTTAATTTTTGAAATTATTATTATTTTATTAAGACATTATCATAATATTTATCACTTATTATAATAATAATAATAATAATTTTTAATAATCCACCAAAATCAAAAGAGATTTTATAATGTATAATACAATTTATACATAATTTTATTTAAAATCCAATGGTATTCATCGAAATTTTAAAGTTTATGTATGGTTTAATATAACCAAAATTTTAAAAAAAAATTTAAAATCTTGATTGAATACACTTGCATTTTAAAAGTTCAATAGAATCATACCAAATTTTAATTGAATACACCCCTTAAATCTTACATAACTATTTTTGTACCCAAAAAATTTGGGCCTATTTTTTTCTAGGTCCAACCACGATTTTTTTCGTGCCGGATTTGAATCGAATTTTCGAGTCGAGTCTATTTTTGTTAATTCTACGTAAACTAAAAATTTATACTATTTGATTATGCAATACACTTTTTTACCTCACAAAATATTTCTTTGAACGTTAGAGGTTTAAGTGAAGTGAGAGTTAGGAACTAAAAATACAAATAAATACACTCTATAGTATATATATATATATATATATGTATATATCTTAATAATTAAGCGTGAATTATGGGTGTATTTCTTTAAGAGATTTTTAGGGAAATTTGGATTTTGATTTGATTTTTATTTGAATTTTGAGATGAGTTTGAATTTTGATGTTTCTTTTGAGTTTGAGTTTGATTGGAGTTTGAGGAGTTTTTGATATTATAAATTTGTATAATTTAATTATAAATTTATATTATATTTATATATATATTTTTTAAAATTTTATTTATTTGTATTATAAAAAATTTTATTTTATACAAAATCACATATATATTGTATATATTTTTGTCCCAGAACCCCAGCCCAGTTTTGGGCTGGAGAAACAGACCCTTAAATTGCTATATAAAATTAAAATATATTGGCGAAATATTATTAGGTAATGAACATTCTTTCAAAAAAATATAATACTCCCTCTGTCCCACATACCATATCCATGTTGTCGTTTTTGTCCGTCCCACATACCATGTTATTTCATTTTTTTGGAAAATGATTATACACTTTAATTTATTTTAAAATTTTTAATTTATTATATTTTTTTTAAATTTTAATTAAACTAATTAGTTACCTTAATCTTAATTTATAATTATTTATATTATAGGATAATTATTTTCACTAATACATTCTTAATTTATCTACTAATTATACCCTCCTAAAATACCGTGTCTACGGTGTAGCAGACACGGTATCTGGGACGGAGGGAGTATTTATCTTTGTTTAATACTCGATCCGTTTTAATTAAAAATACTATTTTTATTATTTTTATATATTTTATTTAAAAACATTTATTTTTATTATAGTAAAAATAATCACACAACAACATTAAAATGCTATTAATTTTTATATAAATTAAAAATATATCATTACATATATAATTAATTTATACATAAAATACAACTAAAAAAAATATTAAAATTATTTTACATAATTTCATTAAATAATAAAATAATTCTTCTCCGACCCACATAAAATACCGACATATTTTATTTTAGTCATTCTCATATAATTCGTCATTTTCTATTTTTAAGTTATAATTATACACTTTAATTATATTTTAAATTTTATAATCGAATAAAAAAATAAAAACATAAATAAAACAATAATTTTATAATATTTTATTTAATTTGTACACCGACTCCATTTATGTAATATTTAAAATATTTTTTAATGTGTGACACGGATAATTGTATTAAAAATATAAAATATATATTTTTTATAATAAATATTTTGAGTTTTGAGTTTTTTTATAAAATATTATAATTTTTATTATTATTTTTAAAAAATCATAATTAAAAATTAGTATTAAAAGAAAAGAGCAAATATGTATAATTGTCAATAATTATATTTAAATTTATATAATTAAAATGACAAACAAGGCACCAACCACATATGAAGTTACCATACAGCCCCTGCCAGATATTCGTTTGGGATAATTCCAGAAAATAAGAAATTGTTCAAATAAAGTATCCAAATTTGGACTAAAGTCGTTCAGTGTAGTTTGCTTTCACGAAATCATCCGTCGCCAATCCGACAGCTCCTTCAAGTACCCATACGGTGTCGTTCTGCGCGTCTCACGCGCCACCACAGTTCGCCGGAATTCTCCATCCCCGTTCAAATTGCAGTCCGGACTTCATTTTGACTCGGCAAGTTCATGCTGTGTTTTTAATTTTTCCCAATGGTGATCCCAAGTTTCTGCTATGCATTAATTTGGAAATTTGAAGTTTAGTGATTGTTCTGTGTATGACAGGTTCTGGCAGATATGGAGGTCAGGAAATTTTTTATCGTGGGAGTTTTTCTATCGCTGTTTGCCGTTTCATCTTGCAGAGGTACGTATTAGCGAGGAGATTAGGTATTGGCAACTCCCGAAGCATTCTAACCGACAATAGTGCTAGTTGATTTTTTTTTTTTTTTTAATTGTTTGACTGAGAAATTGCGGAAGCTTCCATATTTGTTTGATTATGTGTTGCTTATAATGCAGGAGTATATTTGTCATATCGGCCTCTTAAAATGAATTTGCTCTGTTTGGATGTATTTTGAAGAGTGCTGATTTCTTGAAAAGTGCTTATTTCGATCAAATGATAATGAAGATATGATATGATAAGTTTATTAAATGATCGACTGTGTGATTGGCTATAGATTACTATTACTTCTACAGATGCAGGCTTCAGGACGTTGTGATTATGAATAAAGGGCCAAAATTTAGTGATCATAGTTGCCTTTTTAAAAATCTAAGTGTTACTTTTTAGGTGTGGTGTATGAATACATGTATTGTGTTGAAATAAATGATAGCATGAGTTGCGAAGGACTATGCTATGTGATGTGAGTTTATGTGTTGTATTTGTATTATATTAACATATTAGTGCTATATATATTAAGTAAAAGTAAATTTGTTTGTTAGTTTATTTTTTGAAACTACTTTCGATTACGCTGATGGATATTTGTGGATGAACTGGCGAATGTCTTGTTTTAACAACGTCAGCTTGTATTTTAGTCTGACATAGAAATTTGGAAGTCATTCTTGAGTTGTAGCTGAGATGTGAATTATTCGGCATCTGCTTTTCATTTCAGAAATGAAGGTGAAAGTGATTCACAGCAACCCTGCAGATCATAATCAATTGGCATCATACAATGGTACGCTTGCGAGGATTTTGGTGCAGTATGCTTCTGCTGTAAGTCATTTCTCACTCATTGTAAAGGATAAAATTTCTTGTGTTTATGTTTTAGAAGTCTGCATATGATGCGTTGCCCAGGGTGGCATTCCTTATCAAAGTTCCAGCAAAAATGATGTAATATATATTTTAATTAAACTAATTAGTTATCTTAATTTTAATTTATAATTATTTATATTATAGGATAATTATTTTCACTAATACATTCTTAATTATCTACTAAGTGGGACGGAGGTAGTATCATTTATAAACTTGGCTTAGGAATTAATGAAAGTTTACACTTTAAAGAACAGATGGTTGAGATGCCTAAAATGTCCATTTTTTCAAGAAAAAAATATTAAATGAAGATGAGAAAGGGTAAAAATGGAAAGAAACTATACATCTTTGTTTTGGAAATAGAAAATGACAAGTATTCAATCCAAAAAGATTCTCTAAAATGACTAGTAGTTGGAACTGAGAGAGTTCAGTATTTTTATGTTGTTGATTATTTTTTTAAGAATATAAAATATGAATAAATTTTACATAATAAAAGAAAACTATAGAGAATTATCAACTTCTATAAGAATATACAATCAAGGAATCACTTTTGTAAACCAACTACTTAGATTTGGAGAATAGCAATAGAAAATGAAGAAGATGGTTGGTGTCGTCCGTGCTCAAGTCAATGGGGAGCAAGCCCTGTTTTATAAGTGCACTATGGCTGCATCAAGTGCAATGCTATATAGTGGTGCTAACTTGGTGTACTATGATGCAAGACTATTGCCGTGCTTTGCGAAGAACTAAAGTTTAAATAGTTTGACAAAGAGACCTGTATATGTTGTGAAGTTTTCCCATAGAATATTCCTCAAGGCAGAGGCAAGGTTCATATGCATGACGTATCAACCATCATTTCTTATGTTTGCAGGTAAATTTGTCTGATTTGAACAAGTTGTTTACTTGGACTTGCTCAAGATGCAATGGTTTGATTGAGGTCAAGTATCACACACTTCATATGATACCTAATGATGCTACACATATTTCTACTCATGATACAAATAATTAAAACTATCGTGATTTCCAGGACTTTGAAATCATCGAGCTGATTGTTGATGTGAAGCACTGCCTACAGGTTTGATCAAGTGTTATTTATTTACCTCTTTTTTTCTTTTTCTTTTGAATCTTTTTTTTTTCAAAAAGAAGAAAGAAATTTGCAAAGAAGAGTTTCCTCTCTCTCAGTAGATTGCAACGTAGTGTGAGCTTTTTGTTCGATGCAGGCATTTGTTGGCTTTGCTGCAGATCTTAATGCCACCGTGATTGCGTTCAGAGGAACTAATGAAAAAAGGTTCAATCTATCACTGGTGCTTGAGTGCTTCATCAGCGATCTATATGATAAGCTGCTCATTTACTTCGTTTCACTTCGATACAAACATCAATATTGCTTTCATATGTTATGCTCCTATGAACTACAAACTACTTTGAATTTTATCCCTCTCTTCAAAAAATTTAAGCTAATAGAGAGATGTATCCTTGTATATATTTGTACCTACATTCTCTAATTAACTTTTTTTTTTTTTTTTTTTTTAATGCGCTATTCTACTTGCAGTATAGAGAATTGGGTGGAAGATTTGTTTTGGAAGCAACTTGAAATTGATTACCCTGGAGTTGATGATGCGAAGGTGTCTGTGTAGCTAACTTCTTCTTTTACGCATTTTCAATATTTTTGTGCCTGTGCCCTTATTATAAGCATTTGTGACATTTTTCTTATCTGCAGGTGCATCATGGATTCTATTCGGCTTACTACGAAACATCTTTACGACCTGGAATTCTGGACGCCGTTCAGAAAGTAAAGGAGATGTATGGAGACATTAGGATTATTGTCACTGGGCATTCGATGGGAGGGGCCATGGCTGCTCTTTGTGCGCTTGATCTTCGTGTAATTATATATTCTTATAGGCTTCCCGTGATTGATCATTAGTCATTACCTTTGCTTTCTACACTTTCCATATACCTTGTGCATATTTTTTCCTTTCTGTGCCCTAAAAAATATAAATAGTTAACTGGTGGGTCTTGGCTGTAGTCAAAATTTTCCCAAAGTCGTGGCAATTGCCTGTTCATTTGACATATCAAAAAATCTCAAAGTCAAGTAGTATTCAATTCTAAAGTTTGGGTATTTTGTGCTTTGTTGTTTTTGCACTTGTTTGGCAGATGGCTACACGTAATATATGACTAGTTTTGTTAGTCAAAACAAGTCACTATTTTAGCCCGATATGGTTCAACCTTGAGTATTTAAGCTTGGAAAGTATACAAATTTTCTGCATACTTATGTCTTTAGATCTTTGAGTATGAAGTTTCGAGCTGGTTTGCATGATACTTCACTATAATCATTGCACTTGTCAAGGTTCTTAATTTCAGGTTGTGACTTGCACTTTTTTCTATTCTCAGCTGACACGAAGAGAGGAGAACATTCAGGTTATGACATTCGGGCAACCGAGGATTGGCAATGCTGCTTTCGCATCCTATTACAGCAAAATTGTGCCCAACACCATTCGTGTCACACATGGACATGACATCGTGCCTCATTTGCCCCCATATTATTCTTATTTTCCTCAAAAAACATACCGTCACTTTCCAAGAGAGGTAATTTCTTGTCTTACTCTTTGCATGTTTTGTTGAATACACGGATTTGTCTTTATATTCGATCTTTATTTAATATATATATATATATATATATTGTAGGGGTTGATATAGATTTAATCCAAAAGTTTTACATATTTTTACTGATTGCTTTTATTTTATTCACCTATATGTTTGTTAAAATTGATATTATGTTGCTAATCCCTTAAAATTACCGACCATACTACTTTCAGCAAGATCTACTTTTGCTTATGATCTCTGAATGTCTTCATCGTTTCTTCAGTTACAACATACTCGTTTTGTAGGTATGGCTTCACTATGTAGGCTTTGGAATTTTGAGTTATGCGGTTGAAACAGTTTGTGATGGTTCGGGTGAAGATCCAACATGCAGCCGGTGAGCATTTCATATTCCCTTGATTATTAATATGAATAAGTTTTCGAACTTGAAGTTTAGAGAATATTTTTTGATGAGATTAAAATGCTACTGATTTTTGTTAATTTATATGTGACTAAAAAATTATTCTTATTTCGTAAAATGTTGGAGATGGAATAATTTAATAACTTTCTTGCAAGCATAAAACGATAAGTAGCTTAGGGCAATAAGAGAATTCTTTGAAAATGGAGGATAGGTATATACACATATGTATGTGTGTGTGAATATTGTGAGTGTAGGTTGCTTATTGAATCAAATCAAATGTCAATATTAAATTAACACAAGTTTTATGTTGCTACTTTGAGTTTGTTTGTTTAGTATTTTGATTTGACTATTTTATTTTATTTATTTTTTAGACGAGGTATAGAGAATTGTGTCGATAATATAAAAATAATATTTGATATTGAATATTAATTTTTGTGAGATGATAAAATATATATTGGAATTCAGAATGTATGCTATGTTAACATACCTTGTATGTTGAAATTAGTTGTCGTATATGTCCGTATACTGTATTTGCATTATATTAACATATGTTTTATATTATTAGTTTATATCTCATGTGTTGTCAGTTTATATTTTATATATTGTAATTGCCGCCAGAATAAAAACATAGTTGAAGGTTGAAACACAAATAAACCAATCTTTGAGGGCATGCAAGTTATTTTAGTACCTGCCGTCTCCGACCTCCCTAAAATGCTTTTGCAGGTCAGTGCCGGGAAACAGCATATCCGATCACCTGGTTTATTACGGCGTTCAGATGAAATGTGACGACGAAGAAATGACCGTGTGCAAAATCTTGTTGGATCCTAGTATTGCTCCTTATGGCAAGATCGATTCGGATGGAAACCTCCTCTTGTCTAGGAATTTCTCGACCCCTGTCGTGAAACTCAACATGTTACAGGGCGACTTCACAAGCTCGAGGTAACAATTTATGCCCATGAGCAGGTTAGCTAAATTCGACTTTTTTTTTTTTATACTATATATATATTTTTCCTTGTCCTAAATTCTTCTTCTTGTTGCGGGTTTGTGCGAGTGATAGTATTGATTTATGTAAATGTGAATATATATCTCACATTATGTATATAGTTGAGTTTAGAGGGTGATTCTATTCGGGCTGGATTGAGAGTGGGAATTTTAATTTTTTATTAAAATAATATTTAATATATTATTGTCCGTAGTTTAGAGGGTGATTCTATTCCGGCAGGATTGAGTTTGAGAATTTTAGTTTTTTTATTAAAATAATATTTAATATATTATTGTCTGTTTGTTTCCGTGCACTATTCGGGACATCCAATATTATTATATATTTATTATATTTTTCAAGAATGGATTATCTTCAATAAAAATAATAAAATATTATTCAATTCTTTTTAAACAAATTAAATTTAATAAAAATTATCTGTAAAAATATTTATTAACCAATTATTACATTTTATCAATCATATTTTAGTTTTTTTTTATCCTTTACATTTTCGTATTGAATTTATAAAATAGTAAATTATATGTTTCAATTATTAAAATTTATATAAATTAATATTTAAAAGTTAAAATACGATATTATATAAAAATGTTAGGAAAATAAATCAACAATAGTTTGAATAAAAACAAAAATAATTAATTTTGATTCCATTATAAAAAAAATCATCGTTTATGGTCCAATTATAAAAAAAAAATTAATTATTTTTGATCCCATCATTGAAAAAACCAAAAAAAATATTGATAATGTGAACATAACAGAATTGATGTGGCATCTGAGTAAGACCAACACGGTCGTATTCCAAAACAACACGGCCATATTCCTAAAAAAAAGTCAAAACAATTCCAACAAACACGGTCGTGTTAAAAAGCAACACGGCCATGTACAAAATTATTATTATAATATACAGTATTAAGAACATAAGACACTTGCCAGCAATAAATAAAGTAACACTAGCGAAAATAGTAAAGCCAAGTGCCGAAACAAAATGCCAAACCGGTAGTGTTCCAGCACACTAATTATGATCTGATCCGTCACAGCTTACGGTTCAAGACAACTACGGGCTAGGGAGACTCATCACCCACGCCTTCCGGAAGGCAGGCGGCTCCTCGAGAAAAAAAGTAGAATGCCGGGTGATTTTTCAGAAGCACTTTACGGGCAGCTAAGTATTTCTTGATCGGCACATCCTTTAAATCCATAAGTGGATTGATCGCCTCGCGGCTCTGTGCTTCTTCCCTATTGTGGCGTAAAACTTGCTGCAGTATCCGTCTCTGTCGAGCTAATCCCACAGTCTCATCATAAGTTTCACTTGTAATAAACTTTCATGTCCTTGAGAACTCCATTCAGAATCCTCTCTAGCACTCGACCCTCTGTAAGAGAAGTTACGTCGGGTTGGTCCTAATGCGTCTCCACCTTGAGCACCGACCACATTTCGCCTGTTAGACTGTCCAGTCGTGTATCTGTTGCGGAACATTTCCGAGCACTCCTTCCAGCGTGGAAATGGCTGTCCCAGAAGAGATCCGAGGCCTCTCCGGTTCTGCACAAAAGAAAAATAAAAACGAGGTTTAGATTGAAATAATGTACTCAGCGAAGTAGCAAACTATATTCCAGACATATCAACCGTATTTTTATCATTTTCCTTTTGATTTATAATACATTTTAATATAATAATTAATATAGTTTTAGAGCCGGAGGGATGTAGTATGATGGGATATTTTATGAAAGAAAAAAATATTTTTTTTTTCCCCCGAAAAACGCAGAATTCAAATAATAGAAAACTGGATTTAAAATGTAAAGAAATACACCCTAAATAAAAAAACAATATAGAGTATGAGAGTCTGTACCTTACTGAGTGGCCACAAACCACTTTCCTTCCGACTAGAATCACCCTTATCAACATACTCCGCCATTTACAATGTGTTTAGGGATCGTGTGCAATAAAGTTAAAGTTCGACGCAAGTTTAAATATACAAAAAAAAACTGTAATCATGAAAAAGTGAATTAACATCGTTATAGTCAATAAAGCTTAAAATTCAGCACTGTGGGTGTAGTAACAAACAACACATGGTATTACTTCTGCCAGCACATCATTTATATTAATATAATACAAATACAACGCATAAACTAATAATACATGTAGCAATTGATTTTAGGACATAAAATACTCTTATAGAGCACATACTTTTATTTCAAACAAAATATGTTGTATGTAAGAAATATATTTGGTAATTTCGTATTTTAGACGTGCTGATTTGAAAGATCATGGTGCTGTAGCTCTTCCTGGTTAATAAACATTGTGTAATGTAATACTACTATGTTGTGGCCAGCAACAATGAATGGACTGCCCTTAAATTATGAGTAATTTAACGATCATATGACCATAGATCTCTGCATAAATCATAGTTGCGTATAAGGTTATATAACATACCTTGCGCTTTTTGTTTGACGGTTTCGGATAGTTGAATGATTTCGTAGAGCTGCCGGCATCGGGGACGTTGTTCCCCTCAGATTGGTATGCTATTACTGACTGCAATAAGTACAAAAAGTTGAAATTTTATTAATTAACGGACTAAGATCAGCCACAACACAAACTCGATAATAGGAATGAATTTACACCTAAAACGAAGTAGTAACTCTTCGTGACTTACATTAACATTTATCAAATACACCACAACAACAATAGTCACTACAAGAAAAAATCATTTTTGTAACAAATTTTTTTTGTCTCTAAATCTACTTTTTTTTTTTTGTTACTAATGACATTAGAGACGGAATTAGGAATGTAATTACGTTAGTTACATGAACTTTAGGGACGGAATTCCGTTACAAATATATTAATTTTTTGTAGTGAGTACGAATCGAGGCTGACAAGTAAAATGGATACGGTAATGATGCACATAGTTACCATTTCATGCAAATCTCGAACACAACATGCCAGTCATTTCGGAAGCCAATTTCAAAGTCCTGATGCACTCAAGAGTATAAAAAAGTAATTACGCGCACATTAATCAAACATACCACAACAAAAGAATGAATGGAGGACGACAGAATAAGGCCGTCTCCAACCACGAACTGGATTTATGCATATTTAACTCAAAAAAATGTAGTTGTTATACTATTTTATTCAAATCCACGGCTATATTTTTTACTCCAAAAGAAAAATTCTTCAAACATTATTTATATATTATTTAAACCACTTTTTATACCTACAACTAATATTATCTTTTAAAAAATATTTTAAAAATTAAAAATAAATAAAAGAAGTAATATTCAAAAAAATTTTAAGAAAAAAAAATTATAAAAAGAGCACAATTCCAAAAATGGCGTTGCTATACCATTTTTGGTGTTGCATTGTAGCATTTCTACCAAATATAGAGTGGATTGGAGAAATTCATCTCCATTTTGTGAACCAAACTCCAAATATGGAGTTCCGTTGGAGTTGCCCTAAGCTATAGAAGATAATTGTGTCTTTTTATCCGATTGCGCAGCTCTTGTTTTTCCCTTTGCCGAAATTTTAAAAAAATCATTGTAAAGACTACCAAATTATCCACTCCGGTTAACAGGAAAGCTCGATTTCTAATACATATAGGAAACTCGAAAAATGCAAGAATGGAACCTCAACAACATATGCTTAACTTTAACTCGAAAAATACGATTTCTAACTGATTTTGTAAAAAATAAAATTTTATAAAAAATATAAAATTATTAATATAAATATATAATTAAAATAAAATATATAAAATTAATAAAAAAATAGATATAATTTTTTTTTTGCCATATGGGACGATTAAACTGAGTTAATGAACAAAAATACATAACAACACCATTGCTGTGCAGAGTAACTCTTCCCCGGCCATTTCACTTTTTTTTTTTTTTTTTTTAATACTGACGTGGCCTTAGGAGAATACAGACATTCCAACACCAACAACAAAAAAAAGTTTAGGGTGTCTTTGTTTGGATTTGAATTTTTAATTCAAAATTGAATAGTAAAAATTTTGGATTGTAATATTATATGAGTGATATAAATAGGTGATGATGTGATATTTTTTAATGTAAAATTAATTTTTAAGTATAACATAAAAAAATAAAAAAATAAATTTTTGATTTAATATTTTCTAAAGAAAAATATTTGATGAATAATACTAGAGGAATGCTATGTTTAGATCAAAGCACAATTCAGTTTAGACCAAAACACGGTTAATGTTTAAGCATATGTTGAAATGAAAATCTCTCTAATTAAGTAAAGAATGTATATAAGTGCGCAACCGTGTTTATTCGTATTTTCGTGTCGTGTTTGTGGTGGATTGAGCCATAGAGGTAACAAAAAATTGTCAATCCGAACCCGAAAATTGACCTAAAATGCTAGACTCGAATATGATACGAATTATTTCAAGTCGGGTTCAAATTGACCTGAATTAGTTTCAAGTCACCGAAACCCGAAGACACGAAACAGATCCAAAAATTAAAAAAAAATTAAATTGACCTAATTTTTTTTATTTAAAATAATATAAATATTATAAATTAAAATAATAATAAGAAATAATTTTAGGTCAACTCGAAACACAAAACCTAACCTAATTTTTATATTTCAAATTATCAGGTCAACCCGAAACACGATCCGAACATAACACAATTTTTTTTTTTTTTCGTTTCGAGTTCAGATCGACCCGATTTTTTGCAAATCCAAAATACCAAAACCTGAACCTGAAAATTTTCGGGTCAAACTGATTTGATTTTTCGGATCGGATTTGATTTTTGATACCCCTGTTTGTCACCTATATAAGCTTTAAAAACATTTTTTTTCTTTTATTTTTTAGGATAAAATCCCCCCATAGAACCATAACAAATTTTCACAATGAGAAGAATAAAGATTAAGATTTGTCAACTCACGCAGGATGTTTCTAGGTTCATATTGATCATTAAATTTTTTCAAAATCTTTTTGTCGATACGCACAACGCCTAGTATGCATCGTTTACGGCTAGGACTACTGGGGTACTATGTTTCAAACATGATCAAATTTAGAATTTTTTTTAAATTTACATCTTTCTTCATTATTATCTCATTTTATTGTTTTAACTGGAAAAACAGTACTTTAAGATTACAAATAGAACTTTTGAAATATATATTAATAATAAATTTAAAAAAAATTTACAATATTCATCTCCAAAGCTCCACAAGTTTGTACAGATCTTGTATTACGTATCTCCCAAATTAGGATTTTTAGTTTGGTTTGTATGTATCAATATTTCGACTCCAAAATTGATCCATGGATTGTTGCCTTGAGAAAAAAATTGAAATAAAAGTTTGTTATGTTAGAATGAGAAGTTAATTATTTTGGTGCAATGATTCAAAGTATGTAAATATATATTTATAAATAAATTTTGGATAAATATCAAATTTTATCAATTGAAAAACTTAATCCGTTTAGATTTCACAATACCCTTGGATGAAATATATGTGTTAATAATAAGAAAACATAAATGTACTGTAGGACACATTTCTTTTTGAGCTTTTATCAGTTTTTTTTTTTTTAGAAATTTTTTACACTCATAATATATATACAATTTGTTCTCAAATAAAATAGAATTTCATCTATTACATTTCAATATTTAAAAATATATTATTTTATTAATTAGTAAAAATATATATATAAAAAAATTTGACATTTTTATTATTTAATTTTATGTATTCCCCCTGTCCCAACTCAAAGTATCATTTTTATTATTTTCGTCCGTCTCACCCAAAAGTATCAATTTCTTATTTTAGTAAAAATAACTTAATAATTACTTGAGTTACAAACGTACTATTATATTATTATACGTAAAATTATTTTTTACATAAAGTCAAAAGTAAAAATATCAAAACTTCTTACATACCTCCACTAATTAATAAAATATTATTATTTTTTAATTTACTACAAAATCGCAAAGAGCCCCGTTGAACTGGAATGAAGAATTATAAAATGATTAAATGTGCAATCATACATATGTAACTTAAATAAAAATTAAAAAATAATTTATTATTAATATATTATTATTTTATTAAAATAAAAAATAAATACTTAAAAATGAAACGAAAGTATTATATAAAAAACTATTTAAATCAAAATCGAGATCGAAACTCCTAAATACAATCCAAAATAAACACCACATAAAAGAACGCAACAATTGTTTTAGCATTATAATTAATTATTAAGTAATTAATAAAATACACTATTGTCTTGAAAAGTGCCGAAGCCCAATATTAATTTCAGGCCCAAACTGCAAACTGCCTTGTTTGTTTGAAGTTTGAATTTTGAATTGAGATTTCAACGATAAAAAAATTTGAATTGAAATAATAGTATAATATGATATAAATAAATATTGATTTAATATTTGAATATAAAATTAATTTTTAATATAATATAAAAATAAAAAATAAATATTTAATTTAATATTTGTTAAGGTAAAATTTGCATGAATAAATCTTTCCCAATCCTCCAAACAAACATTACTAAATAAGTTATTTCTATCGGCGATTTATTCAATAGCGACTTCAGTTGACACTGTGGGTAATTGGAGCAAAAGGAACCGTAGAGAATCAGTGCCTGCTCAAGACTTTGTTCGGCAGCCATACTTCAAAGCTTCAAATCAGCAAAACCTTCTTCGAAAACGAAACCCGAAGAAATGACCAGATATCGCCAATTGATTAGGGCTTTGGGAAACCCCTCGCTGGATCTCTTCAACTCGACCGGACGTTCAGCTTCTGGAAATTCTCGCCACCGTGGCTGCGGTCTTCCTCCGCGCCGCTGCTTTCACTCGCCGGCGCTCGCCGGAGGTACTTCCTATCGAGGTCTTATGCGCTCGCGCAACACACACACGCATATATATATGTATAAATTACTGATGCTATTTACCTAACAGAAAAATGAGAAGAATGACGTGATTGAGTTATGAAAATTGTTAGTTTTGTTGTGAATGTATGCAACTGTTGGGAAATTCAGAGATTTTTGGTGAAGGCAGCAAAAGGTTTTTAGGTTGAGTGCAAATGTCGACTTCATTTTTTGTGTTTCGTTTATGGCTAAAAATCAGAAAAATCGAGAATGCATTGCGTATGAATAATTGTGAATAAACTTACTGGTTTTATGTGGTGAATTAGTGTAAATGAACGTTTATTGCATTAGATTATCGAAAAATGCTTCAGATTTATTTTTTTATTTATTTTGTGAGATGTGAAATCTATAAAAGTTATGGTGGAATAGTTTTTTGATTCCCATTTCTGTCTTGCTGAAAGTGTGATATCAAATTCATTGTGCATTAAAAGATGAAGAAATTCATAGTTTTTACCTTCTTGTTTATTAACAAGATATCATATGTGAATTCTGCAGGGAATAATTACAGTAATTCTTCATGTACTGAAATACACAATGCAAATAATATAATTCGGATATCAACATTATCCGCATTGACACAGGCTCGATTGTTCTCTTCTGAATCAACTAATGATGGTTCTGCAGGTATTGCATTTGTATTTCTGTGGTTTCAAAAAGTTTCTAGTTTGGAGGTTATTTTTCATATTTAAGCTGATGTTTTTATTTATTTCTTTGGCAGATTCGGTGCAGGATATTCATGATAAGATTCTGAACTGTGTGTCTGAGAAAAGAACTGCACCTCCAAATGCTTGGTTGTGGTCGCTGGTTGCGAAATGTTCTACTCGTGAAGATATTACGCTCCTATTCAATATTTTGCAGAAACTTCGTGTTTTTGTCAGTGTCTATTTACCTCAATGCATACTTTTACCTTGACCACCCTTTCTTTGGATGCTTATTTGCATGTTTGTTTATGTCGTGGACTGCAGAGACTTTCCAATCTTCGGATACATGATGATTTCAACAGTGCACTTTGCAGGGACGTTGTGAAGGCCTGTGTACGTGCAGGAGCAGTTGGCTTTGGTAATAATAGTGTTATATCTCTGCAAGAGCTATCTTACTTGCTGGGCTCTTTCCATGTGGGTCCGTGAGCATGGGATTACTTACTACTGAAAATAATGCTGAAATATTCCTTTTTTTATACTTTTTACCTTGCATTCTTGAAACTCTTTAGTCTATTTAAGTGAAGTTATGCTGTGGCAATGGAGAGATGTTCTGCGGTTGTCCTTTTTTAGGGTTCTGCATTTTAACAAAGGAGTTAACTTTTAGCAATTTTTAAAAATTTGTGGCCAGAGATTAGATTTTGTTACTGATGTGGCTGGTGGATATATATTGTTATGAAGAAAACTTATTATTTTATTGAAATTGAAACTAATAGGAATCTTCGTGTGTGTTTATTTGATATTTGTAGTTTTAGGTGATTTTGTTGTGATGTATGAGTAATTGCGAAAGTATTATAAGGAAGGATGTTTTGCATGTTTTTCTTGATTTTTATTATTATGTGTATATATATTGCATCTTTTGGGTAATCGTCCATGGTGAAAACACTCTTCCAGTTGTTTCAAAACTAAAACTAGAAGAGGATGCCTTACCCTAAGATGGCTTGTTATATTTCTTATATATATATATATGTAGGGTTTATGGACAGTCCATGCCTGCCCTCTTGAATCCTATTACTAAGATTAAGTTAGTTAATAAATAAAAGAAACCTAATTGTCTAAAATGGGCCACCTGTGAGTCTAGGTGTGGAAGATTGGTGGCCTGTTCAGGGGTCAACACCGGTCGGTCTTCCCCTCCAGTTCCAGCATCCCCACTGTCCTCCAGCGTAACCTATAAGGATTAGAAAAACTACTCTAAGATCTCTAGGTTTCCATGGAGAGAGGAAATGTGTTGCTATTAAAGGCATTAATGTTTCATCATATTTATTTTTTGTGCATCATAAAGACTGGTTTTGTTTGTTTGTTTTTTGTTTCACTTTTTCATACAAATGTATTTACAGTGAAAATCAATGTCGTGATATAACCATTTTTCTTATGGTATCTTTGTTTTGTTAGTAGGTAAAATTCTTATAGAGTTGTTTGAATGCAGGTAAAAGGGCACTATGGAAACATAATTTATTTGGTTTAACTCCTAACATTGGATCTGCACATCATCTGCTGGTTTGTTTTATGTATATTTGATTCTGCGCATTGTGTGTTTTATGCTCGTTAATGAAAGTACTTGTACACAGTATAGAAGTGTCCTTACAGTATTATCTGCTCATCCCTGCAGTTGCATGCTAAGCAAATCAACAATGTCAAACTCATGGTTGAAGTGATGAAACTTGTGAAGAAGAATGGTTTACCTTTGCAACCTGGGACGGCTGACATAGTGTTCAGGTATGATTTAATCAAATGTTTCTCCTATTTTCCTATGTAAAAAATTTTCTGTTACGCCGTCTAATTCCAATCTCTATTTAGGGTATGTTTGATTGGGGGGTTGGGTTTTGAATAGTAAAGTTTATGAATTTGAGTAGTTTGATGTGATATAAATAGGTGTTGTGATGTTCTTTTTAATGTAAAATTGATTTTTAATATAGTATAAAAGGTTATAAAATACTCCCTCCTTTCCACCTTTTTTGTCCAATATTTCTATTTCGGTTTATCCTACCTTATTTGTCTTTTTCTTTTTAGGAAATATGATTATACACTTTAATCACATTTTAAAGTTTATAATTTATAAATTTTTAAATCTTAATTATACTATTTAGTTATTTTAATTTTTAATCTATAATTAATTTTATTATACAATAATTATTTTTACTAATACACTTCTTAGTTACTTCCTAATTATAATTTATCTAAATTCTTGTATCTACAGTAAATTGGATAATTATTTTTAGTCGATAAATTGTATCTACAGTAAATTGAAAGAGCAGTGGCAAATAGTCGATAATTATTTTTAGTCGATGCAAATCATTGACAAAACATTTAGTTTGCTGCTTGTCAAGTGTTTGCCTATGTTTTTCCAAATCTCTTCTTTTTATGGTCATTAATTTTGCTTCAGCATCCTATTCAATCTGTGTGACTGGCCCACTGGAATTTTCTTGTTGCAGCACCTGTGTTAGTGGAGACAGATTCGATTTAATAACCAAATATGGAAAAAGATTTGCGGCATCTGGAGTAAAACTTAGGCAGAGTTCATATGATTTGTGGATGGAATTTGCTGCCAGAAAAGGTATGAAACTACTATCTTTTATAGTTTTCTTTTTTATGCTGCCGGTCAATGTAATGAGTTTCTTTTTACAACATTTTCTGGTGGGATTTTATGTTTTCTTGTCGTGAAAATAGCTTTTTGATACTTTTGTAGTTTTTATTTGGCAGGGGACATTGAATCATTGTGGAAGATTGAGAAGTGGAGATCAAAATCTATGAACAATCACAGTCTTTCAACTGGGCTTTCCTGTGCTAAGGTAACTCAGTTGTTAATATTTTGTTTTCGTTGAGATATATTATCGATAAATATTTTGATTAATACTCCCACCGTCCCACATTGGATGTTCGCGTTACTGTAAACACGGGAATTTAGGACTAAGTATAATTAGTAGATAATTAAGAATGTATTAGTAAAAATAATTATCTTATAATATAAATAATTATAAATTAAGATTAAGATAGCTAATTAGTTTAATTAAAATTTAAAAAAATTTAATTAGGAAATTTAAAATGAAATTAAGATATGTAATCATTTTAAAAGAAAAAGAAAGTGACATGAGACATGGGAACGGACAAAACGGAAATGTGAACATGATAGGTGAGACTATTTAGTGAGAAATGTTGCAGAGCTCGGACTTCCCTTTTGAAATATTGTTGGGAAACCCGCTTGCATTAAATTTTAATGGTTCTTTCTTATTGACTACTAATGTGGGTGCTGCTCACGATCTTTGTTGGTTTCACTAGGGTTTCCTTCTTGAACACAAGCCAGAGAGTGCCGCTGCAATGATTCAAGTGCTGTATCAGGTAAAACCTTGATTGATATCTTTCGGACATAAAAAATTGCTCCAATTCCCTTGATTCCAGTGGCATTAACTTAGATTTAATAATCCAGGTTTATTTGGAAGTTTGGATTGGGGATTGAATTTGAATAGTTGTTTGAGCTAATTTAAATAGATGTTGACATGATATTTTGAATGGATAAATTAAATTTTTAGTATTAAAATATAAAAAAATGTGTTTCATTTGATCTTTTTGAGGGAAAATTTTTCATTAATATAGCATAAATCTTGGAAAAAATCCTCAAACAAAACAGGCCAGGCATACCGGCAATCTTTTTTAATCTCTATTTTGTCATTGGCGGGTTTTTAGGATTTCGATGAGATTTGAATTTAAGCTCTATGATATCAAGAGTTCACAACTCAATTGGAAAAATGAATCGTCATTATTTTAACTGTCTCGAGATTATTTTGCATGTTACTTTTCTTGCCCTTCCCAATCTTCCCAAGTTCTGCATTTTTATTCGAGCAAGTGAACAAAACTTATATGTCCAGACTCTACCTGAAGCAAAAAGGCCGAGTATAGTAACTGAACTACAAAAGCTCGTGGGCGAATGGCCTTTGGAAGTTATAAAGCAACAAAAAAAGCAAAACAGAAAGGTATGCACATCCTATCTAATCACTGTTCTTCAAAGCACTAAAAATTATTGCTACATGCCTTTGGGTTGAGTTTTCCACACATGATGAACTCGTCGTATTTTCCCCCGTCTTGATTAGGCATTTGCTTCCGATTTACATAAAGATATTTCTGCGCTGATCGATGCTTTACCAAGCGTTGGTGTCAAGGCAGATGTTACTGTTCGCGATTTTAGGGAAGCCATTTCTTCCTAGTATCATCCTGCTTGAAATTTAAATTTACAAGCGCCCGTTTATCAGGTATGGGAATGCCATTGCTCGACCTTTTTATTTTTTCCATTTTCCGAAAGGTACAAAAAAAAATGAGAAGCCATGTTTTCTTTGATCTACACATCTTTCACGTGAGTTAGCTTCAGTTTGTTACAAATACATAATTCAGTCAGCATATAATGGAGATCGAACCTCTTGACGGTTTAACCTATTAATAGGTGAGGAAATTGGAAATCTCGGGTTTACCTTATTTTTGTTTGGACTTGAATTTTATTTTTTTTTATGAGAGTTTTAAAATTTAAATAGTATTTTGACGTGATATTGGGAATGAAAAATTATATGTATTGGAAATTGTACTGCATCAATAGTTGTAATTTTTATTTGAAATAAATAAGATGTAGCTAAGGAGAATTGATATTTGTTGGTAGCAGAACGTTCACTGTTCTTTGGATGAATGAAAGACTCTGATTTGAAGGGAAATTGCACTTATTAGGAATTTAGAGTGTTTTTCCTTTTTTTATTTTTATTTTTAAAAAAATGAGATGAATGAAATTATGGCTTTATTCACCCAAGTGATGAAATAATATTTTTTCAGTCTCAAACAGCCTACAAATATATTTTTTTTGTGTTTGTTCCAATTTCACTATAAAATTTTTAAATTTAAAAATAATTAATTACATTTATATATATAAATATATTTTTTATTTTATTCTATTGCATCACTTAAATAAAAACAAATAAAAATATATTTTTTTTTTTCAATTATATCATTTAATTTTTAAATTATCTCAAATTATCCTGGTGTTAGGGACAGGGATGGAGGATGTAATAAACAATACAAATATTTTTTATAAAAATAAAAGTCAAAAAATTAATTATAAAAAAAATAAAAAAGTCAAAATATTTAATTTAAAATAATATATTTTATATTTTTGATACAATTTTTTTATATTACACATCAAAAAAATCAATTCTTTTAAAAATGTAACGGAGCCTATTAGGGTGTGTTTGTTTGGGGGTTTGGATTTTGAATTGGGATTTGAATAGTAAAAATTTTGAATTTGAATAGTCGTATGATGTGATATAAATAAGTGTTGATGTGATATTTTGAATGTAAAATTGATTTTTAGTATAATATAAAAAATGAAAAATAGGTGTTTGATTTGATATTTTTGGGGAAAAAAATAGAATGAATAGTAGAAATCCAAACAAATCCCTCAAACAAACACACCCTTAATGAATATCCTTTGGAAGGTAATGTATGACGGGAAAAGCATAATCCCTTAGTCCCTCCTCAAGAGTAAGATGAATGTTGTCCACCGAGAATGGTCGGTGGTGCGGGGAATGAACTTGTAATCGTGAGGTTTTAAAAAATTCGTGTACAATGCTAAGCTCGAATTCTTGTTATTTGCTAACATGTATATTGTATATATTTTATTAAATTATAAATATTTTAATTATATTTATAATTTAAATTAAAAAAAAAAAAAACGCATGTGTCAGGCTTACCCCCAAAAACCGGACAACCCAATTTTGAGCTAGTTTACTATGCAAACTATTTGCACGTAAACTTGGGTCGGAGAAACACACCTTAATTTATCCCTCAATGTAGGTCGAGAGCTTCAGAAAAAATGTATAGATTATATATTTCAATATTGTTTGGTGGAAGACATGTCGTCATTGGCGGTGGTAGCAACGATATGGAGGAGATTGTACAAGTGCATGTAGGATGATCTGAATGACCACATCACATAACATAGTATCAGAATTATAGGTCTCGAATTCGAATTTCATTGTCCCATTTCGGCATATATCTATATGCAAGTCTCATATATATGGATGGAAAAAATAGACACGGCCTGAAAATTCGGTTTGAACCCGGCACGAAAAAATCATGCATGGCCTTAAAAAATAGGCTCGAAATTTTTGGACCGTACCTGACTCAGCATGTTGATAAATCAGTAATAAAATAGTCACAAAATTAAGACATAGCTTAATGGTTAAGTTCTGGCTATGAGTTCAATTCTCACTTGCATCGTTTAAATAAAATTTTAATTAAATTAATTTTAATTTATTTTATAAAAAAAACAAAAAAAATCATTTAAAATAAAAAAAAAATTGAATGTATTGGCCCGGCACAGTCCGATTTCAAACTAGATTGTGCTCGGGCCTAGCTGCTCAGATCCGGTTTGAAACTAGACCGTGCCTGGACGGCCCACTGCAAAATCGGGTTGGGGCGACCCAAATCGCACCTCTACTTGCATACATCCCTTTGCACGTGAGTAATCGTATTGATCGACTCCCGTATATAATGAATTAATTATACGCATTTCTAACAACTTACGTTTTTAAGTAAGACGGTCATTCAAATTATCTAACACCGGCCATTGTCGATCTTGATGTATGCAAGTTTTATGAGCCATTGTTGGCGGGGGAACGGTGATGGAGAGCTAGCTTATACTTTGGCATGCCTTGCCTTGCCGGCGGTTGTGGTGTCGTTGAAGCTCCACATGTTGGAATTTATCAAAAATTTAACCCTAAGATCAGGATTTGACGTGTTGAAATAATTGAGATAATAAAATAAAGTTAATTATATCTAACCTTATTCCATTAGCTCCGTCGGATTCGGATCTGCAAATTAATTGGAGGGTTTTGTATTCTTCAAGTCTAGGCGCAACCCCTCTTGAGAAAACCGTTAGGTTTCTGCCGTTACGATCACAATGAGATATGAAAAAGTAATGGATGTTGTGGGTAGACCTGGATCACAACCCTAATTTATATCCCTTGTTATTAATTGACATCTTCACTCAATTAATAAGTTATCAGATGCACATAGGAGCCATGCACTTACTAAATACTTTTAAGCTCAATAAATTAATAGATCGTTTAATTTAAGCTTAATTTGACTGATAACTCTAATAGTTACATTTAATTTACAATTGAATTTTTAATCCAACATCACCAACCGGTGAATTTCCGGGTGGTGGTGCGGATGTTGAGGGATGAAGATGTAATGGTTAAGTTCATAGATGAGGTGGTGGTTGTTTTTCTTACCGTTTTTGTTTGTAGATTTGATTTTTTTTTTTTTAATATAGATTGTTTTTCTTATAGTTTTTTGTTCGTGGATTTGATTTTTCTTATATAGATTTTTTAAAACTCAGTATCTAAGGATTATATTTACCGCTATTATACTTAATATTATAAATATTCTTATATTTATATAATATATTTGTACAAATATCATTTTATTGGTATTTTAAAACACTAATAGAAGTATTTTTGTAATTTTTTCTTAATTTGTATTACGGTTTGATATAATAATCACTCAATCTGCCATTCAAATTTATGTTCACTTTCCTTTTTAGGTTGTCATAAAAGAATATTATTGTTTCGTTTTTAAGTAAAAAAATCATTACACTTTTATATTTTATTATTTATAAAAAGAAAAAGTAACAATTATTATTCACTTTTATTAAAACTCATACGCGGTCAAATGAGCATACATTTGCGCAAGAGTAATATTTAAAGATAATAAGCAAAAAGTAAATGAGATCTTTAGAGCCAGACGGAGGTAGTAGTAAAAGTTTGAATTTGAATAATTGTTTAATGTGATATAAAAAAATATTGATACAATGTTTTGATTATAAAGTTTGATTTGATATTTTTATAGGAAATATAAAATTAATATTAAAATTTTATAATAAATTTATCAGAGAACACAATCATTATATTTAATTTTTCTAATATTTCAAAATTTCAATTTAAATAAAGTTTAAATTGTCACAAGTAAAAATATTTAAAATTGTGTAAGTGCGTGTATTGGCATCTATATAGATATATAACTTTTACTTTTAGTATCCTCTTTATCATTAATAATATTTAAAAAATCAAATTATTATTTTTTTTCTGATAAAATATTATATAAAAATTATTTTTAAATATTTCATTTTTTAAACTTTCATTTTTATATAATTTGTGTTTTAAAAACTTTATTATTTTTTTTTCGGAGCTTTTTCTTCCAAAAATTTATTTATTTACTGACGTGAAAATTGAGAGCCGCTACATGAAAGTGTATATTGGGTAAATTCCCGGTCAAATCTATGACCTCTTGATTACGAGTCCACCACCACACCACTGGGCATCCCTTACGATAATTTTACTATTTTTTTCAAAATATCAAATCAAATATATAATATTTCTTATTTATTATATTACATTAAAATTTATTTTTATATTCAAAATATTACATTAATACATATTTATATTATCAAACAAATATTTTAATTTAAAATTTTATTATTAAAAACTAAAGTCTCTATGTGTTTTTTCTTATGAGTTTGAAAAAAATTTAATTTGATATTAAAATAATATATAATGTCGAAAAAAATAAAATTCAAAATAGTAGAAAATTGAATACAAATGAAACAAACCTCATTTCTTTTTCATTGGGACCATATTTTATTTTTTTCCTAATAAATAAATAAGTAAAATCAAATCTGTACTTTATTGTCTAGGATAGGCTGCTTCGTTTGACCTTAACTATTGTCGGGCTGGTGAATCCAACCGCTAGAAATGCATAGGAAACGACACGTGTAGGGTCAGAATATATTCCTTCTTAAGGTGTTTTCTTTTTATATTCATATTTTGTATTTAAATATTTTTAAAACAAAATAATCATTTTTATTTGTATAGAAAATTAACACTAAATATGACAATAAAAAAATTTAAGTTCACAAAATTAAATGTTCGTTACCAATCTATCCATTTTTTCATTTTGATCCGTCCTATAACAAAGTATCCATTTTTTTTTAGTAATTGTACTATCTATCTAACATATCCTTCCAATTTACAATATATTACACAAATGTCATTACCTTTATATCATATAATACTAATATGATTAATTTAGTCTTTTTACCTTTATTTCTACTTTATCCTAATATAATATTAATATTTTTAAAACTCCGTGCAAAAAGCAAATTGATATATAGATATGGGACGGAGGGAGGATGTGTTTTGTACATACGTGTGGTTTTATACCGGATTTGGTTAATATTGATGTAGAATTGCAGTATTAATTTGAATTTTAAGTTAAATATTATTTTGATATGATATTTTATAAAAATAATAATATTCTCTCCGTTCCACGATGGATGAACCCTTTTATTATGGATTAAGTAGTGTAGATTAGTAAGTTATTAATAATAAGTTATGATGTTAGTTTTTTATTTTTTATATGAATAGTAGTATTGATATTTTAAAAAATTTTAGGATTATATCTGCAATATAGATATCATCTTGTAGATAATAACATTTTATATAATACAATTTTTTTTTATTTATCATTACCATAAATTAGTTTTATAAAAAATGAGGAGTTTTAAAAATAGATAAAAAAAAATAATGTTAATTGAGGAGAGAAATAAAAATAAAGAGGTTTTGAATGGATCTTACGTGTAAGATGTTAGA